GGTTGTCCCGCTGCCCCCGCGGCTTTCATGGTCCTGTCCGGAGCAAAAGATGCCGGAGGCCCCGAGAGATGAGGTCGGGTGCTTGTGAAGCTCGATTCGTGCACGGCGGGAGGAGGATTTGCAGGGGGCACTGCCTGAGCTTACCTGTTGTGAGCAGCACGAAGGAACCGCTTTCTGTGCGGTGGTGCTGAGGAGTGCTGGGAGCCTGTTGTCACAAGCTGATGGTAGCATGGTGTCTGAAGGTGTGGCGGGGAGATGTCACCCTGCTGGGTCACCTTCCTGGCTTTTTGAGAACTTCTCCTGGCTCAATTAGAAGCGCTGAAGGAAAGGGCCTTTCAGGTGTCATGTTATCTCTTTCCAGAATGGCTATTGAATTTTTTTGTCATGCTCAGCCTTAACTATAAGAGTTCAAACATGCCTTGAGTACTAAGTTACCTAGTGACAATTAGTCTGTGGAGCTAAACAGGGCCGGGTGTCAAGAGGATGTGGCCAGATTCTTTTCAGTGGTGGCTAGTGATAGGACAATGGGCAACAGGGCAAGCTGGAACACAGGAGATTCTGCTTAAACATGAGGAAGAACTTTACAGTGAGGGTGCCAGAGCACTGGGACAGGCTGCTCAGAGAGATTGTGGAGTCTCCTTCTTTGGAGATATTCAAAACCCAGCTGGATGAATCCTGTGCAACTTGCTTTAGGTGAACCTGCTTTGGCAGGGGAGTTGGGCTAGATGATCTCCAGAGGTCCCTTCCATTCCATGATTCTGTAAACAAATGGAAAATACTGAATATTGATGTTTTTCCTCAGTGCAAGAAAGGGTGTAATCTGTTTGGGTAGACCGGAAACCAGTAAAAGACAAATGATTCTGACTGTCAAGTACGTCGTATGATCATGTGCTGAAAACTGTCTAGATTTTAAGAAATATTGATAGTAGGCTTTTGTTTGGTTTAAATTAATAGGTGTATATGCATACAGAATATTTGTACAAATATCTACTTTACGGTATTTTTTTAATCTAAAATGAAACTTCTGTAATGCCTTTAAAAATGAGGATGTTGCTTTATATGGAACAAAACTTCAACTTAAAAGTACATACAGTTCCTCTTAGGTTGCTCTTGAGAGCAAAGGGGAATGCTACTTAACCATAAATAGCAAGTTTTTTTTAGACAAAATTTCTTTCTGTGTCTAGCATTTTCTTTTATGTTTACCTTGTTTACGAGCCTTTCTTCAGTGCTTTGGCCAGTAAGTGTCTTAATAAGCCTATTTTTGGACAACTGAAAACAAACCCATTAATTTTTTTCGCTATAAGTTTTCATTTCCCTATTGTTTACTCCAGTGTGATAGCTTTTCGGTAGTTGGGGCTCTTATGGCTGGGACATTTCTGCAAATGATGTTTTCGGCAGATAAGTCAGCTGCTGGTTTCCATTAATTTCTGTCAGTGTCTGTCTCTTTTCTGACATTACAAGTGCAATACTTGTCTAACTAGAGGTATGTGTAGGACCATGTTCAGAGGCCCACTCTCAAAAGAGTCTGAGAAATTTTTAAGAAATTTGTTCCCATCAGTTGAGATGAAATAACTAACTTCTGGAATTCTGTTGGTTTATGCTATTTCATCTGGAAATGAGTTAAAACACTTCCTATCATTTGAATGTTCTTACATGTCTCATTGTTTTCAATTTCTCTACCTACTCAGGTGTCCTAAGTGAAACTGTTAATGTTGTAAATGATGTTATTTCTGGGCTTTCAACTTCTAGAAAGAAATGTGACGTGGTGGAATTAAGAGTTAAGCCTAATCTTTCACTTGGAGCTGTTTGACTTGCAGGTAAGCTATATGAATTGCATAATGTAAAGTTAGTTTTCTAGCTCTCGTGGGATACTTCTGTGCAGTATTCTACATACAGATTAAATCCAAAATACGCTTTTCTGCCCAGTTTGGGAGGAAAAGAGAATTTACTTCTTGTGAAACTGAATGGAGTTCTGAAGAATCTAAGTTGCCAAGACAACATTTACTATGACTTTGTAGTTGAGATAATATATGACAGATACAGACCATTTGCTAGATCATTAAAATTAATTGTATTGTGACTGTAAGAATAACAACAGTCAGGCAAAATGTGCTGGTACGTAGGTCCATGAGTAGATGAAGACTATATTCCTGTGGATTAATGTCTCAAGAGTTGAGTTTGTGATCCCTAATAAGGCTGATCTTGTGCTTAATTCTTTGTGTGGCCATTAATAGGATTTCCCCTTTACTTGATGTCTTAAAGATATTTTCACAAAATGTTTTGAAACTGAAAACCTTTGTTAAGCTTGGAGGAAATTGATCTCTGAATTAGTTGCTTATTAGATTTTGAGTGATTGTGCTGCTTGTCATGCTTGGCAAGATAGGTGTTTCAGCCCAGAGAACTGACACTGCAGTTATAGAAGGAATGCAAAATTACTCTAGAACAGGTGATGCCAAACTTGTTTGAGAGAAATCTCATTGCATGCTTATTGGTGATACCTGTGGTTTGTGTGCTGGAACATGGATCTTGCTGATGTCCATATGAGGTTCTAGTAAAGATCGAGAGGAAAATACAGCTTGATGTAGTAATGTGCAGGACAGAGTAAGTTGTTTGGGTATTTTTGGACTGAATTATGGTAAAAAGGAATATTATTCCATGTTGTTATTTCTACCGGTGTTTTATTTATTTTTCTGTCTTTGAAAATATCCCGTGTGTCCTATTTTCCAGTGCTCAGTGTTTATGCTTTCTCAGCCTCATTTACACTTCACTTAAGCTGATTAGAGTGAGAGGCACTGGAATAGTGAGTTCTGATATTGTCAGTAAAAATGTGCTTTGGTGTGATAAGAGGATGGAAGATGAGATAAATTCATCACTTCAGAAAATGTAAGGAATATTGGTGTACTTGAGCACAGAATTAGTATGTTGATTTACTCTCCTTTCACGTTTGAAAGGTTTTTATCTAAGTCTGAGGGACACAAATTTATAACCTTTTAAAAATTAAATATAAGTCTCTGGCAAAACATCAAGTCACCTCTACTGAGTGACAGGACCAAGGGGAGTTCAAGAGTTTGCCAGTCTATTTCTTCTTCCCCAGAGGAGGTTCAGACTGTCCCTCTCAGTCCGTGTCTCTCCAACTTAGAGAGAAGGTTGTCATGCAGGAGTGTTAAATGCCTTGCACAAGTCCAGGTAGATGACATCAGTTGCTCTTCCCTTGTCCACCAATGCTGTAACTCCGTCATAGAAGGCCACCAAGTTGGTCAGTCACAATTTGCCCTTAGTGAAGCCGTGTGGAGTCAGCCAGGATTTCTTCTACCACAAGTAGTTTTTGAATTTTAGTCAAATGAATTGCCCCAGCATCAACATAGTAATCTGGGTTATGTCAAATTAATATTGGATAAAATAAATAATATTTCACAATTTACAAAATTACCCTTATTTTTATATCTTGCATGGCTTTAGCTTTTCTTTCTAGAACATTACATTGTTGATGCATATTCAACTTCAAATACTAAAGCTCTGGAAAAGCCTTTTTTTTTTTTCTCTTTCTCTTTCTCTTTCTCCTACCCACTTCTGTTTTCCTTGCTGTGTTTTTCCAGTTGGACAAATAGTGTCAGCTGCAAACTTAATAAACATATTATATTACATTATCAGGCCTTTTAATGAAAATATATAGTGGATTCACTCTAGGTATTCATTTGATACTTGTCTCCAATTTTAAACTTAATTTCTGTTAACTGCTTTAAGAGTTCTGATTTTCACATAGTTTTGCTTCCATTTTAGGAAAGCTTTATTTAGTTCTAATGTTTCTTTAGCTTACTTTTGTGAATGTCATGTATGTCCAGGGTCTAAAAAAAAAGATGACCTCTACCTCTTCCGTGTTTAACAAATTTAGTTACTCATTACTGGATCGATGGATATCTTTCTCCTTTTTTATTTATTTATTTTTTTAATTTGAGAACAGATCTTTTGCTGGAAACTTAAAATAATATGTTTTAATTTTTTAATGTATTTAAATTAAATTGATTTGACTATAACTTTTTGGCCACAGTTTCCTTTCCTTTCCCTTCTTCTTCTTAAGACACTACATTTGCCTTCTGGAATATCTCTAGTTCTCCTTGAGTCATTAAGATACTGGTTCTTAGACTTGCTTCAGACAGTTACTTGGGTTTATTTGTCTCAGTTGGCCCTGGCCAATCTGAATATAGCTTAGCAAAGGGGGTAATGGTTCTCCAGAGCAGAACAATGGAAAAACCCTTATGTCTCCAATGTATGTTTTAGGGGGAGAATTTTTTTGGGCTGTGGTCTTATCTTGGGTACTGAACACTTAGAAGTGGTGAGAGTGCATCTTTTGATTTAGTTCCCTCCTAATGGGCTCTACCTCTTGCATCTTGGCACTGCTTCACAGTGTGAACAAATACAGTAACTGAGGAGCAGTTGAAAGATCTTCAAAGGTACATCCTGCTGCCCAGAACCAGAAAGGCTAATGTCAATGTAGTCTGAGTCTGTGAAGTAACTTTGGGAATATTGTGCAAGTCAGAGACTGTTCAGTTACAATTAGGATTTAACATTCATTACTGTTTCTGGTCTTCCTGCCTAGGTTTCAAGATACTAATGGCAGATTCATCCAGTGATTCAGACAGCTTTCTTAGGGGTCGAATAGGAAGGCGGCCACCTTTGCGAGCATCCCACAACAGAGCTTGGAACTATGGTGCTGAAGAAGTTACAGAGAAGATCCATACTTTAGCAAGCACTTTACAGGTTGCTTACAAAATATGGCTTTAAAGTATCTATAAAGTCTGCATTTCTGTAACATAGGGTCAAATTTTCATTTTTGAAGTTGTGGAAAATACTGTACTGATGGGAAACATTGCTTTCTGTGCAAACCAAAAAAGATTTTGGGAAATTGATCATACTACCTTTTAGCTGAAAGTGTGTGCTTTGTTAGACTTCTATACAACTGCTATTTCAAACAGTAATAGAATGTTGTTAGAAACAATTATGTGTTTGGTAATACTGTTTATAAAGTTAGCAAACTGAATAATGCCAAATAAACTGTCAGATTCTCACAAGAGGCATTACATTTTGTAGCAGAATGTTTCAGCCCCATCTTTGTTGTACTGTGGAAAATTTCACAATTCCTAATAAAGTAAATAAGTAGACAGTCAATTTCCTCATGGTAGATTTTACAGTTCGTATGTTTTCTAGATGTGGGACAGCACAGTGAGAAGTGGTATTTGTAAACTTGTAAGACATCCATACTTGAGCAGGAAAAAGTGTTCATCTAATTCTTGCTTCTTCAGTGGAGGAAATCTTGGAGTCTTTTTGCAAATGGGAGGAGACATCTAGTTATCTTGACAACATTTATTGCTTGAGAAGTCATTCCCATTCTTCTCTAGCTGACAGTTCTGAATAGCTAGAGTGGGTGGGCTTATGTGTTATTACTTGTGTTGAAGTATTGTTTGGCCAGCAATATTTTTTTTTTTCCTTTTTAATATGTGAGAAGAGAAAAATCCATATAGAATGCTGAATTTAAACTTCAGATCTTCGTAGCTGGAAAATAATCATCAGGCTAGAAAAGAGATGCATTAGTAAGAGTGTAATCTGACTATTTTTTAAAAGGGACTCTTCAGTGTTGTCCTGTTTCTGTCTAACCTCTTTCTAGCTGCTCTTCTGAAATTCTGATTTTAAGCTAGTTGGTTTTTGTGGACTGCTTTTCAGCAGATTTGCCACCTGATCCCGCTCTTCGTCTGGTCAGAGGATGGTCATGCAGAGACCTTACATAATGTGTTGATCTTAAAAGATATGTTATTTCTCAATTAACTTAATTCTGTTTTACAGGAAGGTAACATTAAGTTCTTTGTTTTAAAAAGGTTTTTCTACAGAGTGGCTGAAACTTATAAAACTTTTTGTTTGAAGCTGAGACCTTACTGTTGTACTGTAAATAATAGTGTGGGTTGGTTGGTGTGTTTGTTTCCCCCCCCTTCCCTTTAGCCATGCTGTACATCTTTAGATTCTGGTTATCTGAGTAGGATTTTGAATGCTTAGACCTTTAAAAAGCACGTGTGTTATCAATTTACTCTTATAAAACAGAAATAATAAAGACATCAGTAATGTTTGTTTAGAAGAGGTTTCTGTTTTAATTTTTCTTCCTCAACCTTTTTTCTTAGGATACCAACAGAAATCTAAGACACGTTGACCATTTGCTGGGACAATACAGAGAATACAACAAGGAACAAACCGAAGCAATAGCAACTGTGAGCAACTTTCAGTTTATCTTCTTAAATCTTTTTTACTAATAGCATTTAAAGCTGAAAACTCCATAGTAATGAGCAGAATATATCAAGAGTTAAGTAGGTGTAAACAGAAAGTTTTCATATTTATTTGTGCAGTCTAAATCAAACTATAGTAATACATGATGAAACTAGCAGGTTTTGTAGCTTCATTATTTCTCTGGTTTATAAACACCACACGGATTGTTATGTTATGGTACTGTCCCAAGTACAAGGTGCATAGCTGAAATAGCGTATCAGGGAACATGTTTCTTTTGCATGGATAAGTGGTAAGGCAAAAGCTGAATTACGGAAGGGAATGAGAATGTGGTCAACTGGTGTAGGTTTTTTTTTCCTCTCATTCTACAACAGCCTTTGAATTTGACAAGCTTTCTCTAAATTGTAGAAGAGGTGAAATTCTCATATTATCAAGCTTCTACAAGTTAGAAAACATGTGTCTAGACAGAGAAAGCAAAACAAATTAGTGCTGGTAGGGCAAGAGAAGTTTATAACTTGATTACAAACTGCAGCAGTGCTGCCTTGAAACACATACATATGAGATGTACGGATATTTTGCATGTGAGGGTAGAGAGAAAGAGAAAAAAATGCAAACATGTAGAAAAGAAGGCTTGTTTTCTTGAGACAGCTTGCCTTCAAAATCAGTATCCAAAAACTCTGCATGGAAGTAATTAGGGATATTATATGCCTCAATTTTTTTTTTCTTCTATTTGAATACTGTCTGTGTCTATAAACTCTACTTAGATATTGAACTTGTGTTATTTCTGGTGGACATTAGAACCATTTAAGGTTGTCTGTTTTTAACAAGTGCTGATACTAGATGCAGCTCAACATCCTTATTCTGCAAAGATTGTTCTATTAGGAAACATCAAGGTGAGTGAGACCACTTGAATTTAGTTTTACTTAATGTCTGTTCTTCTTAGTCATGCTAGGTGGCTTTTGATCATGGCTCAAGTGAGGGAGAAATCTAGAGACTCTAACCATCTCCTGCTTGAGTTTTAAATAATAGAGTAAAATCAGTCTTATTAGTAAAGGTAGCATGGTTCTCTGAGTTCTTCTTCGCTTTCTGAAGCAGAAGTTTGCACCTACATAGAGTAGTTGTTTGTATTTTGTATGTGGGAAGAAGCAAATGGGATCAGGAAGCTGTAAATCTGTTTTCCTTCTACAAAACATATTTAAGAAAAACTTGAATAAATTTTTCATTTGAATAGTGTTGTATTGAGGTTTTTTTGTTTTGCTATGATAGTTGGTCAAATATTTCTACCATATTAGACTTTAGACATTGGACACTAGATTGTTTATCTGAGAATATTTTTCTACAAATAGGGTATGTGTTTAGGTTTTGTCAGTTATGCTGAATATTGTTATGTCTGACTCTTGAATTCTTTGTGATCTTTTCCTTAAAAAAGACTTTCTTCAGACCATTGTATAGCATATTTGCATTTAGGAATTGGTGACTGTTGGGCTGCTAAGGAGCTCTCTTCCATTCTAATTTACAAATTAGTCTTCCTACCCAACTTTGAGGTGCGCAGTGTCTGCCTGTGAATCCACACAAAACTTTCTACATAACTTACAGGCTCAGGAAGGTTTGCTGCTCAGAACTTTATTTCACTGTTGTTGATTCTCCAGTGGTGGGAATATTGTACACTCCCTATGTGCTCTGTTCTAGAGCAGTTATTCTCCTGCTGACTTCACTGTTGGGCAGTGATTTTGTTATGTCCCTGGAGGAGAACAATAGCAGAGAAAAGGTCCTGTTCTGCCCTTTGGGGTAGGGAGGAGAGAATGTTTTTTGGTGGGTATTTTGCTGATGTGAGGCTTTGGAGAGGTTTAAAAGTAATTAGCCTTTGAGAAAAATCTGGTTGGTTTTTATTTATTTATTTTTTTATTTTCTGATGACACTGATGTTTGTTTCTTTAAATCAATAAATAATAATTTTTTTTTTTTTTTAAAAGGGGGAGAGAAGAAATTGGAAAGAACCAAAATGTTAGGCACTTTTTTGATGGGATGTCAAGGAATGGAATTAAGATTGGTGAATATTAAGGCTATTCTATTCAAAGTTGTGTTTTTTAATATCTCTATTCTACTATCACTAACCAGTCTTCGTTCTTCTATTTTTTAAGAGAACACAAATACCTTAAAATATAATGATGTTGATAATGTAAATTATAACTCAAAAATTTTAAACAATTATTTGACCATTGTTCTATTCTAAAGGAACAGATTGAAGAGCTCTTTGCTTAAAAAAATAAAAATAATTTAAAAACCCAGCTGTCTGGTTTCATGTAGAGAGGATGAAAATGAGCACTGTAAAGCTAAAGCATGCAAACCGAGCACGTGTAGTTTAAATCAGAGTTTTTAATGCCCTGTACAAGGTAAGTCTTTGACAGATTCAAGTTAGATTTGAAAATTGAGTTATTGCTGTTCTTTCTTTGATCCTCTGGCATTTTAATGATTTCTTTTTTCTAAGTTTTAGCTTTTTGAATATAAAAAGTGATCCTCACATAGGATCCAATCCACGTTACATACATGCATTGTCATATCTTTTTCCCTCAAGTAGTCTCTGTCTTTTTGAGAAAGTGTTAGAAAAGTCTTAAGGTTTTTTGTTTGAGAGTTTTAGTGATAATGAAGTTGTTTTAATAATACCATATAATGAAAATGTAGTACTTTTAAAAGAATCTAAACAAGCATTGAAAGATTCAGAAAAGATTTAAAGTAGTGTTTTATGCTTTGGGAAAAAAGTGCTGCCCAGAGAGGGATCCAAGACAGTGTGTGTAATTCTGCAAGAATAATGCAGTAATTTAACCATCGTGTACAAGCCTCTGTTAGGGAGAGGAAAAGTGAACCTTTAGAAATTTATGTTTTGTGGATTGTCAAATAAAGGTGTGACAAAAGCAAGTGGCTAAGAACCAAAGTTAGCAAATGCAATCTTAAAAAATAAGATGCAAGTTTGAAAAATTAGGAACGTACTTAGGAATATAGTTAGTTCTGAACTCTGAAGTTGGGAAAGGCTGCCTTTTTCTTGACGTGTAACTACTAAAAGCAGGGCTTGATGTAAAGCTGCTTAGTGAAATTTGATAGCCATGTGTCAAACTGATTCCAGGTAGGGCTGGTAGAAAAATTCCAATAAAAAAAAATTCTTTGAAGTTGTTTTCTGGATTTTACAGGGCTGTTATTGAGCATTGCTCCCAGATAGGTCTTATTTTGGTTGTAGGAGACATACTTTTCTTTTGAGTTTTACTGGTGTGTTGCATCACTGTTTTAAAAAAACTTGATATTTGAAACTGCCAATGTTGGAAACATGTTGTACTATAATTATGGGAATATGACATATGAGATATTGAAGAAAAGCTGTTATTAATTCATAGCTATATGTGACTTAAAAATAGTTTTGATTCTCTTAATGACTTTTTTGGAAAATAATATTTTACAAGCATGTCTTTTTTTTAATCAGTGTGTGTTCTTATTTCAGTAAATTGTAATTTCTCTGCAGTTAAAAGAAACACTGGAACAATCTATAGGTCAATTAAGGAGCCAACGATTAACCCGAAACTCTGGAATGAGAAGTGCTTCTCTCTCAAGCTTATACCCTAGTGATCTGGATGGAGAAGGAGTGTCAGGTAAAATACTTCAAGAGCTTGAGTATACTTAAATTGTGTTATATAGCTGTTGTATGGAAAGAGGAAATTAAAAAAAATGTATAAAGATAGTGATGTGAAAAGTCATAATTGATTACTTCAAAGAAATTCAATTTAGAAATCTGGGAGACCTGCATGAAGTTATGCAGTTGTTTATTTGATAAATTCTTATGGCTTTCTTTTACATAGTCTTTTCTGCTGGTATCCCAAGAGATCGAAATTAAACACTGATTCTTTCAGTAGAGAAAATTCCTTGTCCTGTGCCTGAGTTGTAGGTACATACAAGTTAAAGATAAATCCAAAAGATGTTGCAGCTTCTGAAGCTTGCTTCACAGCAGAAAGGAAAGTTAAAATTTAAATGCATAAGATTGCGGATGTATGGATGAAATTAGGTAAGGCTCAGTGGAAAAGGAAAACCGGAACCAATGTATAACCTACAGAAAAATAGTTTTTTCTTGTGTGTCCCTCTGAAAATTCATTATATGTACGTATTTAGGAAGAAGTGCATTGGGCAGGAGTGTTCCTCCCATAAGTAGCATTTAATGTATTTTAGTAGGAAGCACTCAAACTTTCATTTTTCTAATGTAAAAGCTGTGAAGTACTGCAGTTTGAAGCTGTAATAGATCCAAGTGGAGGAAAAGCTTGGACAAATAAAATTTGAGGAAGAAGATATCTATTCCTTGGAGGAGCAAAGGAAGCCTCTTTCTTACCCATCACATATATGTATTCCAGAAATATTTAAATTGAAGAAGAATCCTGGGAAGAGCGAAACAAGAAGTATGCCTGTGCATTCTATGTAACTTTAGTAGTTGTTTTGTCTGTAATGTGGCCAATAAGGATATTGGCAGGATGAAACACGTGTTTTTCATGAAGCAAAATGAAAATTTCCCATACAAAGTTTTATCTTCCTACTTATTTTTTTATCTCTTATCTCATAAAGGGAACCGCCACTTCCTGCCTACTTCTTCTCTCAGGGATTATGGAGACTCACAGGGCAATAAACATCGAAGGTCTAGATCTGCAAGTGTTCGATTTGTCAATGAGGCAGATAATTTGGACCAGGTACAGAGCTCTAATGGGAGTTGCTTCCCCAAATATGCATTATTTGGAACCAGGCTCTTTGCTTTTACATCGAATGAGGTCATTCTGATGACACAGCTGAGAATGTTTCAGCTATGAAATGTGCTTTCAATGTCATATGCCTTCATTAGGCAGGCACCTCTTCTGTCTGTCAGGGTCATTAAATTTCATGCAAATCTAGCATTATAGATAAAAAGATGGTAGTGTTATCAAAAGGAATGTATGAAAACAATCTCTGTACTTTTTAGGCCACATGTGAGGAAGAAAAATAATCTCTAAATATGTGATTAACATTTGCCTACATGCTGAAATCCAGTGTGGCTATAAAGGAGATAGTTCTGCTTTAGTTAATGGCACAGGATCTTAGGGCTTTTGTTGTTTACTTCAGTGTAGCCTGGATTGATTTTGAGCTATCTAGTCTCCATCTTAATTCTACATCTGACCTGTGAGTAGGATAATTTGACCCTGTACTTCAGGCAGATGATGTGAGGAGAAGAGGATGTGTATGGCACTGGTAATTTTAGTATCCCTCAGCTTGTGACTACTTGCAGACCTTTTGGAAAAAATAAATTAATTACCTTAAGTTTATAGGCTTTCTATATCCTACAGATAGAGAGGAGATTTCAGTACCCATTTTTGCACTTTCAGACAGTGTGGCTAGACCTGCTCTATGTGGACTAATTTGTCCAGGAGAGAAGTATTATGACTAATAATTAAATATTAAAGCAGTTGATTGTAAGGTGTTCATGTTGACTTTAATAAATCAGTCCCAACTTCCAAACAATTAATTGTAAACTTAACCACAATACTTTCTCTCAGTTGATTTTTTGGGAAGTCTGAGTGCTACAGAAATTCCTAGACTTTCTATTTAAACCTGTTTCATTGCTACTTCTCCCTTCATTTCTTCCTCCCTCAAAGTTAGTATTGAACATAATCCTTGGAAGGAAATAATATTATATGGAAATCTTTGCTCCTAAGCTTTCAAAAAGCTTAGAAATATTTTAGACTATTTCTAAATACTTTATAAATATCTTAGAAATTTTATTCAAGGGAGTACCTGCAATGCATACAAAATTCCTAGTTTATATTAAGTAACTATATAAGCAAATAGCTTATTTTCCTGTTTCGATGATAGCTACTGGTTTATTCCTTATTCTTGCTTTTCAATGAGTGAACATGGCTTTACTTAATCCTTAACTATTTTGTAAGGAGAGTATAGTGCTTTGAGGAACGATGAACTAGTAGTTATTAATCATGACCATAGGTAGAAATTGGGGCAGAGATAAGGCACTACTGCTTAATTAAGGCTGTGGCTTTTTCTTCTTTCTGTAACCACAGTCCCTTTATTCCCATTCTGGCTGCTTCTAGCTAAGGTAATTTTCCATCTGAATGGTCTTTTAACGTGTTTGGGTCTCTCTCCTTCTTAGGCTGATGCATTCTGAAAATATGCTGTGCTTTTCAGAGTCTCTTGGGTCAGGTTAAATTTTCTGGATAGTCACATAGGGGAGATGGTAATGCTTGTGTCTGAATGTTGAGGACAGTCAGCTGGGCTGTGGAAGATCCACGTTTAAATTGGGCATAGAACAAGGGGCTATATATAAACCAGAATTTTTCATAATAATGGTCCTGAGCTGTTGACAGCAGTAGGATGAATTAATTGTCACTTTTTATCCCATGAAGGGTGGATGACCTATTACTTTTTTGTTTGCTCTCTTAAAAACTTTGACTGTAAATTGAGGACCTGCTGAATGGGCGAAATGTGAGATTTTACAGAGGAAAATATATATGGTTTTATGTGGTGTTTTGGGGTTTTTTTGTTGTTGTGTTTTTTTTTTTTTTTCCTCAAGCTCAGAAAAAAAGCATTCTTTTTGAGAATTTACATACTAGAGTATGTAAAGTCTTGGACAAGGTAAAATACCTTTCCTCAATGCTCTGGTAGTTCCTGGATACATCATAGTGTTCTGCTTGGTCACTTCCAATTTAATGTGTCATCTTTTTATAGTAAGATATGTAGCTGGGCAGAATTTTGTTTCACTTATACTAGCATTTATTATCAGGAAATGTCTCTTCTGACTTCACCTGTTCAGATCTTTCAGTTTGCTTTTGTATTAGGTTAAAAAGATGGTGCAGTGTCAAGTAACTGAAATAACCAAGCTCTGAACCATAGAAAAAAAAAAATAGTTGAGAAACTTGATTTGGCAAATAACGTACTGAAAATTAAACTTCAGTGAGCAAGTGTTGTGAAGGGTGGCTTGAATTAGAAGCATGGAAGCCTCATCCACTCATCCAGGCTCATTTGCGATTCGTGGAATTTTGTTATTTTGTAGAGTATTTTTATCGGCTTTATTTTTAAAAGTGTATATATATGTATTTGTTAAATAGCACAGAAGAAAAGGTTCCTAAGCTTTGGTTTAATTTGTGTACTTTAATTTACAGCTGCATTCTTTCCACCAGTCTCTTCGAGATCTCAGTAGTGAACAAATTCGCCTAGGAGATGATATCAGTCGGGAGCTTTCAAGAAGAAATCGGTATAAACAGAATGTAACTCCTTGTGAAGAATAGTGTGGAAAATAATTGTTATGCTTTTAAATAATTCTTAAATGCCTTTGTTCTTTTGTATTTAAAAAAATAATTTTGGGCAAAGTGGGGAATTGCACAACATGTAGATGAAAGCAGTATTATGAACTGCTTGTTCCATGTCATCTTGTGCAGTGTTTATAAATGTAATTAACACTCATCAGTTCTGATTTGTATAATACATGTGGCTTTCCCCCTCCTTTTTTATATATGGACAAAATAACAAAGACTTGGGAATTTCTTTTGTTACAACTTTGTTCCTTATTTGTTCTTGATACTGGAGTCTCTTGAGGGCAGGCACACTCTCATGCAGGTATAATACATGTGGCTTTCCCCCTCCTTTTTTATATATGGACAAAATAACAAAGACTTGGGAATTTCTCTGAAAGCAATAATAGGAATTAGTCCGCTAATTCCTAGTAGGAACTAGTACTATTCAAAAGGACTGTGTAGATGTGTTCATAATATTGTACTTGTTGACCTGATACCTTTTCAAACTAGATGATCCATTATCTTCTCTTGAGGAATGGAAAAGCTTTTTATCATGAATTTTTCCACTTGAGGCTGGTCTCTAGTTATACTAGGAATTTAGAGGCTGTAGAAAAAAATTGAAGGAGCAAAAATCCAGGAGACTGTTGATGCTTAAAATTAGCACAGTTGATATTTATTTTTGCACTGTAGAATATTCTTACCTATATTTTTCTTTGAAGGACTGATGCTGAATTAAGAAAGACTCTAGAAGAATTGTCTGAAAAGCTCACTGAGTCCCAAAGACAAGAAACGGTGAGTGTGACTAACATGAAAAGAAAATTTATATTTAGTATTGAAAGCAGGATGTGGGCTTCTAGTTTAATGTGTGTGTTGGTAATCAGTACTACATATTAGTACCTATATCTGAACACGATCTTATCTAGGCCACTATATGTTGTTATAATGTTACCCTTCCATAATGAAATCAGCAAGGCAAGTTTTATATTTCAGGTACTCGTTTGAAGTAAAAGTGTTTTACAAGCATTTATGTAGTTTCAAAATTCATGGTCTTGGAGAAAGCTGCTTTTTAACTTTGAACATTGGTTTAAATGCTGTCATGCTTGTTGAAGATACCTTTTGAAAGATACGAGTTTTTCCATGTTACAATGATGAATAATAGTTTCCTCTTCCTCCCTCCCTCCCTGTCCTTTTCAATCATTATCATCAGTGTGGCATAACGGGAGGAGTCTCTTTGGACTGCATCTTCTCTGAAGGCTTTGTGACAAATGTGAAAAAGGAGGCAGGACAGCCATGACAGTTTCTTCTTTTTTGCCTCCTGTATCTGCTGGAAGCAGACTAACTGCAGTCTATATTAGAGAGATCTGCTGTTGAGGTATAAGTCAAACAGTGTGTTGCTGTAGGAACAAGAGAAGTTGAGAATCTCCCAAATAGTTAGGAGGTCAAAATCATATAGGTAGTTCTTGACTCTTAAGACTTGAGTGTATGCTTTGTGTAGGTATTAATGTGGTATCAGTAGCAACACTGACTTTTCAGACCAAGTGTTGTGTGTCCTTATTTTCCCATAGGAGATCCCTCTTGCCCTAAAATTGCGTGAATTGGTATTAAATGCTCTGACGAGAGCTTTAGTGATGTGTTTGTCACTGGTAACAATGTTGTTGGCACAGATCACTTGTTGGCACCAGCAAACTTAATAATTGTACTTGTGTAAGTTCCTGACTAGATGAAATTGGGAAGGGATTCAAGAGACTATAATCTACCCGTACCAGTTATAATGCCTGATATGACAGAACCCATCAATGGAGGGAGGCTTGCCTTGTCAGCCTTCCTAGAGAAATATAGCAGGCTGTCTTTCTTAGAATATTAGCTCTATTTTCTCCTAATAGGCTGGTAGGATAAAATAAGTTTATCTGAGAAAGAATTCTTGATACTTGCAAAACTCTGGGTTTTTCTTGTTGTGGCCTAGTTCTCAGTATACTTTTTTTTTTCCATGTACCAAGAAATTAGCAAACTCGGTGAGTTTTAACCAAGATGGTTCTCAAGAAAATAGCTGCTGCAACTGACTACACTATAACTGTTCAGTGCCTTTGAATAAGAGAAACAAACCTTCCTCCTCAATCCTCTGGAATGCTGTCAGCTACTGTCTTTTCATTAATGAAAGAAATAACTAGTTCTTTGTGACCTCCTATAGTCAGATTTTAAAATTTGAAATGGAATGTTACAACTTTTGACCTGAGAGAAGCAAAAAATGAAATCTGTGAAGTGTAACAAGGGAACCTTCTGTAGTTTGTTAATTGCAAGGGGAATACCAGAAGAATAAGTCTTTTTTTGGAGAGAAGATTATAATTCACTAAAGCTATGTAAGCTGGAGTGTTTAATGACGTTCTTTTAGTGAAGACACAAACGTTGCAGTGAGGTGGTTTTCATGTGTAGGACTAGTAAGACTCTTCTGCTCATTACCGCTTATTATCTTTAGGAAGAACGTTGGCCAAATGGAGAGAAGACCAGAAAGAGGAGAGTAAAAAAGGAAAAGTGAGGAAAATAAAAAAGGCCACTCATTTGTAGACTTCCTTGAAAGGTTAAAACAATTACTGGGGTTCAATTTGCAGAAGAAATATGTAGTTGGAAAAGATCTAGCCATGTATGATGAATGGTCAAAAATGGGATGTTTAGTGAGTGATATTAGAATAGAAAGGCATCTAATGGTAATTCTGCATAATACTAGTCTAATCACTTGTGACTTGGGATCTTCTTGGTCTGGAATTGATCTCTGTACTTTCTGTACTTAGTAATCCTTTTGTGGTTTTTCTGGAACTTATCCAGTCTTTGTTATAACTTGCATATCTTTATCAACTTACTTGTCCTATAGCAAGGAGTTCTCCAGATAGATTACATATTGTGAGAGAGTGGATTCCTGTTTCAAATAAAGCAATCTCCATGGCCTTGTACTTGAGAATCTATGTGGTATAAAGACTGCAGGCTCTACAACTCTCTATCAAAATCTCTTATCTAGAGATTTTGTGAGATTCTTTTTTTCTTGAAAGGAGTTTGTATGTTTGCTAGAGGAATGTCTGTACAGACCCATGAACAATTGAAAGAATATCTACTTGCATTATGGTTATATAAGGTAGCCCTCTTGGGTATTTTGTTGCAATCTCCTAGTATAGAAGCACATCCCAAATAGCACAAGAATGTGATCTTTATGCATAAAAAGCAACAAGACCGAAGCACACATTTGTTCAAATTGATGCTTAATTGAGAAGGTGCCATTAGGAGATTAGTGTAGACTGTGTCTGAAAAAAAGACAATAATGTCAAGTGAAATGAGTCTCACATGGAGTTAATGTGGTTACGATATCTCATAGAGCCAGGATTATTGTCAGACTTATTCTCAGAACTGTCCTTCCGAAAACTCTGATATAGGTATTTTTGGCACTGCGCAGATGACTTGTAAAATGTATATCACACATTATCATTTGCTGTGAGGGAAAAGTTTAACAATATTTAAAGAGACACCTGTGAAACAAGTTTGCTATTTTTGTCATTTTTAATACTTCTGTTTCAGGTTACATTGATGATAAAATAGGTCATAACAAGAAAGGCAATAAAAATCTGTTGAAATAGATTCGATGAATAGTTGATGCATATCAACTCCTGGTTACGTGGCTGGTGCTGTTGTGAGGGTTTTGGCTTTTATGACAATGGGATATTCTTTGAGGACTATAACCTGTTAGGGAGGGATGGAATCCACCTGTCTAGAAGAGGCAAGGGAATCTTTGGGAACAGGCTGGCCAGCTTGGTGAGGCAGGCCTTAAACTGATAGACTCAGGTGGTGGGGCCCAAAATGGCAATGCTTGTGCCATCATACCCAACTGCGGGAGAAGCTAGGCCAACCAGAGCAGCAATAAATGTTCCTTATCTGCCTCCTATGATGGGAACCAGAAGGCCAACCATGTCAAGGGCATGTATGGCTATGGTGGATCCTCCTGCACCCCTCCAGGGAAATCTACATGCTTGAATAAACTAAAGTTGCTGAAGGAGGGGAATCTCAATCCATCCCACTCCTGCCAGTTTGGTGTTACTGCCAGCAGCAGTTGCCCAGAGCCTGGAGAAGGATCACGGGTCAGCAGGAGGACAGCAGAACAGCAGCACATTGGAAATCCAGCTGCTCCAACCAGTAGGTCAGCTTAA